GCCAAATTTGGAGATTTGCCTGGCTGGGGGATTCTGGGAGTTGAAGTCCACAAGTCTTAAAGTGGTTTGGAGTTTGGAGACGCCCTGCTCTCGGATAATATCTGCTCCCTCTCACCCTCCTTCCCTTGGAGCCTGAAGACCTGATTCTGCCAGTTGGCCCGAGGTGCCAATGGGGCAGTTCCATACTCGAGGGGGGGGGTTCTGAATTGATGGCAGAGCCCCCCTCTCTGCCCCCCCCGATTCCCACCCCCCCTGCCATTCTCTGCTTTCCATCTGTCCATCTTTTCCTGATTGTCATATCAATGTATTATTATCGATCGCCATGTTCTTTTCCACGGCTTATTTTGTGGCTCTGTTTTTTGACTTCCGTCCTGCCTTACACGCTTCCATCGTGGTAAGCTGCCTGGAACTGGCAAGACAGGTGACCAATCAATCAATCAATCAACCAATCAATCAAATAAATAAATAGAACAAACCTCCAGTTGGGCATCTTCACTTTTGGAGATATGTTTGTTGTTGGTTTGCAAAACGGCTCCGCGTTGCACCGTTTCCCCTGCTAAAATTGTGCTCAACTTCTGCCACAGCGCAGACTGTCAGCCCTTCAAAGTAGGCCAGGTTAGGAAAGTAAAGTCACACAGGCTCACCCAGAGGTGGGTATTCAGCCAGTTCTGACCCGTTCTAGAGAACCGGTAGCGGAAATTTTGAGTCGTTCAGAGAACCGGCCATTTCCGCCTCTGACTGGTCCCGCCAATCCCATCTATTCTCTTCCTCCCATTGAGTCCCAACTGATTTGCTGGGTCTTCTTTGGTTGCCCTGCACAGGAGAACAGAGGTGGGAATAGAAGGGGAACTTACCAAATTTGCAGGTGATGCTAAGCTGGCAGGAATAGCCAACACCCAAGAAGATCAACTCAAGATCCAGATGGATCTTGACAGACTAGAGGACTGGGCTGTATCTCACAAAATGAAATTCAGCGTAGAGAAAAGTAAAGTCCTACACTTAGGCAAGGAAAACCAACAGGACACATATAGACTGGGTGAATCCAGGCTCAATAGCAAAAACTGGGAGAGGGATCTTGGAGTCTTAGTGGACAACCAGCTAAACAGGAGCCAGCCGTGTGCAGCAGCAGCCAAAAAAGCCAATGCAATCCTAAGTTGCATTAACAGAAGGATACAATCAAGATCAAGGGAGGTACTAATACCACTCTATAAAGCCTTAGTAAGGCCACACCTAGAGTACTGCATCTAGTTTTGGTCACCACACTGTTAAATAGAGATTGAGACTCTAGAAAAAGTGCAGAGAAGAGCAACCAGGATGATTAGTGGACTGGAGACTAAAACATACGATGGATGGTTGTAGGAACTGGGCCTGGCTAGTCTAGGGAAGAGAAGGACCAGGGGAGACAGGAGAGCAGCCTTCCAATACTTGAGGGGCTGCCCCAGAGAGGAGGAGGAAGGGGTCAAGCTATTTTCTAAGGCACCCAAAGGCCAGAGAAGGAACAAAGGATGGAAACTGAACAAGGAAGAGATTCAACCTGGAAATAAGGAGAAACTTTCTGACAGGGAGAACAATCAACCCATGGAACAGAAGTTGCCCTCAGAAGTTGTGGGAGCTTCATCAATGGAGGCTTTCAAGAAGAGACTGGACTACCATTTGTCACAAATAGTGCAGGATCTCCTGCTTGGGTGGGGGGTTGGACTAGATGACCTACAAGGTCCCTTTCAACTCTGATTATCTGTTATCTGCTGGAAAGCAGGTTAGTGGGGTGGGGAGGGAATGGGGTTTTGCAGTATATCCTTCCCCCGCCACACCCACCAAGCCACACCCGCCACATCACGCCCACAGAACCGGTAGTAAAAAAAAAATTGAATCCCGCCACTGGGTTCACCCTACTTTTAGTTAAAGGTTATAATCCAGATAATCCTCAATTAGTGACTGCCATCGAGCCCAACATTGGTGTTGCTCGGCGAGGCAGTTACGAAGCGAGCTTTGCCTCATTTTACGACCTCCCTTTGCCACGGCTGTTAAGGGAATTGCCCGCCGTTGTTAGGTTGGTCACAGGTCAGTAAGCAAATCTGACTTCCCCATTGGCTTTGGCTTGTCGAAAGGTCGCAAAGGGGGATCACGTGAAAAAACCCCGTCCTAAATATGAATCCGTTGCCAAACGTCTGGATTTTGATCACCTGACCACGGAGGTGCTGCCACGTTTGGTTGAAAAACGGTCGCAAGTCTCTTTTGACAATGCCGTCGTAACTTCAAAGGGTCCCTAAGTGAGCAGTTGTAGGCCAAGAATTCCCTGCACTACTTTTGTATCGCCGTATAAGGTTATAATATCAGGGCAGGGCAATGCGCTTCCGTCCTCGGCCCTTGAATCTTCCTGGGAAGTCGGCAGGTCTGGTCTGAGGTGCTTTTTTGGATTATGGTTCTAGCCCAGACTCGGGATTCTTTTATCTGACCGTCGTCTCAGTTGCGGCTCTTCCCCCTTGCTGGACTCGATTCCCTGCAGCCCAAGGCTGTTCCTGGGAGCGTTTTTCTCCAGCCCTGAAGGTAACCAGGACATTTGGGGCAAAGTTGGAGCAAATAAAGGGACTCCCACTAATTATCTGACTGGGTTGCCTTCGTGCCACGCCCCTTTGGGTCATCACAGCCGCAAAAGAGGAAATCACGTGACCCCGGGACACGGCGGGCCGTCATAAACACGAGTCAGTGATCCAGTTCCTGGATTTTGATCACGTGGCCAAGGAGTTTCTACAAAAAGTGTGAAAAAAACGGTCATCAGTCACTTTTTCCAGTGCTGTTGAAACTTGGAACAGTCGCTAAATGAATTGTTGTGAGTTGAGGACTATCTGTATCATAAAAAAAAATTTTTTTTAACATCTTAAAACGAGAACATATTTAAAAAACAAACTAAAATGTCAACTAAGGTGTGAGTTTCTCAGAACCTGGCTGATCATTGAAGGCTTGGAAGTTACTCAAACAGGGGTCACTTCAGGACATGGGAAAACTCGGTGGGGCTTAAGGTCAGTGGCCTCACTGGTCCAATGTCCTTTATGGCTTTTTAAAGGCCTGGAAGCCAAGGGCAAGGCGGGGTAGGCTCCCTGGCATTTGAGGGGCTGCCCCAGAGAGGAGGAAGGGGGTCAAGCTATTCTCCAAGGCACCCGAAGGCCAGACAAGGAACAATGGATGGAAACTGAACAAGGAGAGATTCAACCTGGAAATAAGGAGAAACTTTCTGAGAGTGAGAACAATCAACTCATGGAACAGAAGTTGCCTTCAGAAGTCATGGGAGTTTCATTACTTTCAAGTAGAGACTGGACAGCCCTCGGTCACAAATGGTGTAGGGTCTCCTGCTTGGGTGGGGGGTTGGACTAGATGACCTACATGGTCCCTTCCAACCTCTCCTATTCTGTTATTATTCTGTTATTCAGAAGTTGTGGGAGCATCATCACTAGAAGCTTTCAAGAAGAGATTGGACTGCCATCTGTCAGAAATGGCGTAGGGTCTCCTGCTTGGGCGGGGGGTTGGACTAGTTGACCTACATGGTCCCTTCCGACTCTCTTATTCTGTTATTATTCTGTTATGCAGAAGTTGTGGGAGCATCATCACTAGAAGCTTTCAAGAAGAGATTGGACTGCCATCTGTCAGAAATGGCGTAGGGTCTCCTGCTTGGGTGGGGGGTTGGACTAGATGACCTACAAGGTCCCTTCCGACTCTGTCAATCTGTATTTAAAGTCACAGCATCTCCTCTCCTCTAACCCAGGGCTGGGGGCTGCCCCACCGACCCTGCGTGGTAGGACAGAATGACAAGGACCTCCTGGTAGGAAGCCAATTTAATCCCTCAGGGGATTAAAAATAACTTTCCCCTTTTAAATAACATCAACAAAGATATAATAATAATAATAATAATAATAATAATAATAATAATAATAATAATAGTTAGGACTTGAGCTGTTGAGCTACCAACCAGCCCCAAAGGCTGTGAATCTCACCAAAGATTTAATAATAATAATCATAATAATAATAGTAGTAGTAGTAATAGTAATAGTCAGCTGCAGAAGGCCACCTCACTGGGATCCGCTCGCATAATCCGCCGATACATCACGTGGTCCTAAACTCTTGGGAAGGGTTTGACTGGTGATTTGTGATACGAAACCCAGCATGGTTATCTCATTTGCAATGTACAACAACAACAATAATGGTAATAATAACAACAATAACAGCAATACTTACAACACTAATAACAACACTAATAACAACAAGAATAACAAGAATGTTTATTAGCCCAATCCAGATCCCTCAACGCCAAGTTGCTCTGGGAGCTTCCGTGCTGTCTGAACCCCTGAGATGCTAGCAGGACTGTAATGGGTGAAAAAAAAAAACCATGGTGGTTTTTTCTAAGTGTTTTTTGTTTTAACTTCCCACACGTTTGTGACTCCAATACGTCAAAGATTAACCAAGGTCTCACAGGAACCCCATTGCAACATGTCCAACTGTTCTTGCTAGAGGCCCTGGGCAATCGCTTGCTCCAGCTGGCACGGAGAGGAGAGGCTGGCAAGGAAGTGGTTGGCCCAAAAACACCCACCCTGATTTTTTTTTTCCTGCTAGAGAAGCACAGTCACAATCTTGGCCTCTGGGAAAAAAAACCCTCCCGGCAAACTTTCGTTTCTACTTTGCTCCAAGCAGAGCTGGGTTTTGGCCACTCCCCTTCTCTCCTCCTGCTCCCGTGCCTGCTGGATTTCTTCCTCGGCCTCTGCCAAGGTCACCCTCACCTCCTCCTCTTCCTCTGCCCCTTGAAGTGTCTGGTGGGGCTACCAGACAGGCGTCTTGCTGGCCCTTCCACCCCAGGGAGGCCCTCGGAGCTGACAGGTGAGTTCTCCCAGGTGTGGCCGACCTAATCTGGGCGGGAGCTTCAGGGAAGCTTTGGACTATCTTAAAGCTACGCTTAATAACAGAATTGTTTATGTGCCAAACTGAAAAAAAACGGGTGCTTATATATACCATCTGAGAAAAAATGTGATCAAGAAAATATTAAGACTGTGCCGAGATGGATAGACTGAGAATGGAAATAAAAGATAGATAGAGGATAAACTGAATACTCTATGATTTGGAATGCATGGAACCAATGGTTAAATACTAGATATAAAGATAAATAAAGAATAGGAAATATTATAGTATTGTATAAATGTAAAAGATGCGTTATAAAACATAAAAGGGAAATAAATTCGGAGTAAGAAATACATATTGTACATATTAGTGGAATAACATAGACAGAGAGAGAGAGAGAAAGAGAGAGGGATGGAGGGATGGAGATAGATAGATAGATAGATAGATAGATAGATAGATAGATAGATAGATAATAGATAGATAGATAGATAGATAGATAGATAGATAGATAGATAGATATAGATATATACTGTAGATAGATAGATAGATAGATAGATAGATAGATAGATATAGAGACATTAGATAGACAGATAGATCGATAGAGATAGAGATAGAAATAGAGATAGAGATGGATAGATGAATGAATGGATGGATAGTTGGATGGATAGATGGATATAGATAAATGGATATAGATAAATGGATATAGCTGTATTATTAATATTAATAGCGTGTTAAAGTATATTGTGAACTTAAAATTGGGTGATATTTTGAGATACCGTCCTGGGATTGATTAAATATTGTTAATATTTGGTGTTATTAGTAACCTACACATTTGGAATATTGAAGTTATGGTAGAATAATGAGTAATTCTTTCAAAAATATTAAATAATAGTATTTAGGGATAACAAATACAGGGCGCAAAGAAATGTTATTTATGTTTAAATGAATTCAGGGGAAAATGAAAAATGGATTATGAAAAAAGACTAGCAAGTTGGAAGATTAGAATTATACATCCGTATTTGTATTATTATTGTTACTGTTGTTTAAAAAAGACTTGGCCCAGTCAATGCACTGTCCATAAAATATGTATGTTTTATATCTATGTATATATGTATATGTGTGTGTGTGTGTGTGTGTGTGTGTGTGTGTGTGTGTTTTCTTAAGTTTTCGTGGGTACTTACATGTATGGTATTCGGCTTTGTTCGGGTATTTTCTCACGTCATTGTAGTTGTGCTTTTAAAGTTGTAGCAACGTTTCGGCAGAATCTCATCTGCCATCATCAGGCTCACAGACGAACACAATACAGAAACCTGATGATGGCAGATGAGATTCTGCCAAAACGTTGCTACAACTTTAAAAGCACAACTACAATGACGTGGGAAAATACCCGAACAAAGCTGAATACCATACATGTAAGTACCCACGAAAACTTAAGAATATATATATATGTGTGTGTGTGTGTGTGTTACAATGTCCTACCAGTCAATGACTACTTCAGCTTCAACCGCAACAATAGAAGAGCACACAACAGATACAACCTCAACGTAAACCCCTCCAAACTTGATTGCAGACAATAGGACTTCAGCAACCGAGTGGTCCATGCCTGGAATGCACTACCTGACTCTGTTGTTACATCCTCTAACTCCCAAAACTTTAACCTCAAACTAACCAGTATTGACCTCACCCCATTCCTAAGAGGTCTCTAAGGCACAAGCTGAGAAATTCAGCGAAACCGGCTTCTTCTCAGAAGGGGACAATGACTAACCGCTTCCTTCCCTGCCCTTGCCAGAAAATGCAATAGCAAACCAGACCAGACCTCTTGCTGGAGTGACTTCAAGACAAGGAAAAAGAAACTGGGCTGGAAACTTTGAAGCCTGTGAAAAAAGATCTCTCTCTCTCTCTCTCTCTCTCTCTCTTTTGTTCTTTCTTTGTTCTTTCTTTCCTTCTTTCTTTTTTCCTCCCTCCCTCTCTCCCTCTTTTGTCTCCAGCCTGTGAAACTCATCGGGACTGAGCTGGTCCCAGCACCAAGGAATATTACTAATTCACGCTTAGAAGCCTTATCGAAGGCTACTAACACCCGCGGTGTTTGTGTTAGCAGAATCGCACCGATTGCATTGTTCTTCCTTCCACAGGTGATGTCTTCCCCAAGAGATCCGAGCCATCCAGGTAATTCCCCCCCCCAACTCAATTTTCAAGGAGAGGATGCATAATTAGCAAATTGGGATGTGGGGTGGGGACATGACCATTTGCATATTCAGGGGAAGGAGGAGTCTTGGCCAATTTAAGCCAAGGCACCCAGGGGGAGATGGAATAAGATCTGTCCTGCCCCCATCAGTGCCTGAATCTGCGGGGGGAGGATGAGCTGGGGCTGGAACGGAGGCAGATCGAGGGGGCGATTGGAACAGCAGGGAAGAACGGGGGCAGGATGAGAGAGAGAGAGAGAGAGAGAGAGAGAGAGAGACAGAGAGACAGAGAGACAGAGAGAGAGAGAGCAGTGGATAGGAGGAGTGACAGAGCTCAGGCGATGAGCAAGGACCGCCCCCTCCTGATCCCTGAGCATGGAGGGTGGAGAGAAGGTGGGAACAATGCTGACCCAACTACTCGGGAGGAGAGCACCCAGCCCCCCCCTTCACAAGGCACACTTGAGGGCTGAGATTTAAGCAGACGCTGTGGGGAGGGGCGTTTGTCGGGAACAAACGCTGAATGGGTAGACTTTGGTGTGCCGGTACAGACATTTGGAGTTGGCAGGATTGCTTGCTTCTTCCTGACATTGTGGACTCAGTACTTTGTTCCTTGTTTCGTGGACTCATTTCCCCATTCCTTTGTTTTGCTGGACTGGGCGCAGCACACACACACACGCGCGCACACACACACACACACCTCTGGGATTTGCCAAGAGCGTGGGAGCTTTTGAGGCAAAATTTGGAGCATCAAAAGGGAGTTTGAACTCTCAGCTGGCTGTGTGGCTTTCGTGCCTTGTCCTGGGTCATCACAAAGATCCTTTAGGGTGGCTTGGCCGCAGCTGCTCTGTCCATGTGCAGAGTGCAGTTTCCCCTCTGCTAAGTGTGTGGGGGATCATGACCCTTTCTAGAGGGGGGGGCAAGGAGGAGAAGAGCCCTTTTCAAGGGATGGGATTGTACCAGTTTGCACCTGTTTGCTAGAACCGGTTGTTAACATGATAGGCAGTTTGGAGACCCGGTTGTTAGAAGAAATTACTGGCCTAATCCTGTAAGGAAGGCAGGAAGGAAACATTCTGGTGTCGCTTACAGAAACAGCCGCTCCGTTAACCCTATTACATTCTTGGCAGGACTAGACTTCCTGTCTCAGGAACTTCTCTGGAGTTTTTTTCCCCTCCTTTGCTGGTCCTTTGCTTGTGTGGAGGGACCATTCAAAGTCACAATGGCACTGAAAAAAGTGACTTATGACCCTTTTTCATACTTACGACTGTTGCAGCATCCCCTCAGTTATGAGAGGCCAGGCGAAGAGATGCGTGCCTCGATGTGAGTGATGTTGAGTTGGCCACACCCAGCCAGTCACATTACTGCCAAGCCACGCCCACCAACTAAGCCACACCCACGGAACCAGTTGTTAAAAAATTTGAATCCCACCCCTGGCCCTTTTCCTGCCAAATCGTTGCCCGCTCCCCATCTTTACCGTGGCCCCTGCTTTTCCTTGGCAGGGTCCAGCCCCATGGCCCCTGAGGAAGGAGGTCAAATCAGCATCCCGGAAATTATTCGGAAGAAACGGGACGGTGAGACACTTCGACAGGAGGAAATCCGCTACTTCGTGCAAACTCTCGGTAGCGACAGGTCCCGGGAGGGGCAGATCGGTGAGCCTGGCAGAGGCGGTGGGACGGAGTTGGGGAAGGGCTGGCATGGGGACCGGGAGGAGCTGCCCTGGGGCTCAAATTCTTTGGCCATTGACCCCTTGGACCCAACACAAGGATGGCTTGTAAATGAGGCCTTCTCTCTCTCTCTCTCTTTTTTTTTTGCAAATGAAATATTTTTAAAATTAAATTAAAAAATTCAATTGAAAGAGTTAAATATTTTGAAATGGAATAATTGAATATTTTAGAAGGAAGGATTTAAAAGAATTAAATCAAACAATTTTAAAAAAAATTATAACACAACTGTGGTTTGCCAATGAGGGCTTCTCTTTTTTTCCCGCCAAGGTTCAATATTTTTAAAATTAAATAATTTAATAAAATAAAATATTAATAATTTAATAAAATGAATTAAACAATTCAATTGAAAGAGTTAAATATTTTGAAATGAAGCAATTGAATATTTTAAAAGAAAGGATTAAAAGACCTGAAATCAAATGATTAAAACTTTTTATGATAGAATGTCAAATATTTTTAAACGAAACACTAAAATGCTTTCAATGAAAGAATGAATTTTCAAACTAAGCCACTGAATGTTTTCAAAGGATGCCCTTAAACATTTTCAAATTGCATGAACAAATGAAATGATCGAATAATTAAATATTTAAAGGAAAGAATGAAAGATTTTTAAATTAGACCATTTTAACGAAAGAATGAAATGTTTTTGATTAAAGAACGAAATGTGTATGAAATAATTAATTAAAATTAAATTAATATTAATTAAATTTAGTGCACACTAGGAAAAAGCACGCACAAAACTATTCAGAGTGGGAAGGAGACCGAGAAAATAAAAAGCAAAAACTAAGAATCGATTTACAGACATATCCTTATCAATAAACTGGTGCCACGATTGGTTACAGTCATCCTGCGTCGACCGATACATCTTTTAATGAACTCCACTCCCATTTCCTTCGTTCAGAAGTCCAAAGCCATTGGAGTTTAATTTTTGCAGACAATGCTCTCACATTTTGTGGGCTGGGTTAACTTAAGTCACAGTTAAACCACGACTTAGCCATCATGGTTTGCAGCCCAAAGGCCTCTCCTAGCTTCCCTTAGCCCCCTTTTTTCGCCCAGCCAGGATCCCTCTCCTCTCTCCTTCCAGGCGCCATGCTGATGGCCATCCATTTGAGAGGCATGGAGCCCTCCGAGACGATGGTGCTGACCCGGGAAATCGCTGCCTCGGGGACCACCCTGGACTGGCCGGCAGAGTGGCGAGGGCTGCTGGTGGACAAGCACTCTACGGGGGGCGTAGGGGACAAAGTCAGCCTGCCCCTGGCTCCCGCGTTGGCCGCCTGTGGCTGCAAGGTGCGTCAAGACGGCCAGATGCCATTTTGATGCCAGCCGGTCGTGAATCCTGGTTCTCTTAATGTCTGAATGTGGGCAAATCCAGGTTCCCTTGATTTCTTCTAATTTTTCCTACTATCGATCTCCTTTTCTACTTACAATATAAATCGTAAAGATACAAGCAACCAAGTCATAAGATACAACATTTGGTGATAGTCGTAGGACACTAAATTAGAAAGATACTAAATTCTGCACCTTCTTTGGTGCGGAAGCTCTCAGTGTACACAAAAGCTACAAGTGATTAAATCATGATCATAGTCCTCATTTAAAATACATTTATCCTAAATAATTCTAAATAAGATTAGACTATCACTTAGTGATAGTCATAGGATACTAAATAAGCTATCAAACTAGGAAACTAAATACAACAATATAAACAATTTATATTGTTTTATTTACTTTCTTAGTAGGATTGCTTATTTAGTATCCTACGGCTATCACTAAGTGTTGTTTCTTATGATTTAAGACGAATGCATTTTAAATGAGGATTATGATCATGACAATTACTTCCAACCTGCCTTCCATGGAGGACCTGCATCCTGCAGGAGTCCAAAAGAGGGCTGTGAAAATATCTACAGACCCCTCACATCCTGGACATAAACTGTTTCAACTCCTTCCCTCAAAATGACGCTATAGAGCCCTGCACACCAGAACAACTAGACACAAGGGGAGTTTTTCCCCAAATGCCATCAAGTAATTCCCTCCACACTATCCAACTATTTACCAAGTCTGCACTACTATTACTATTAATCTTCTCATCACTCCCATCCCCTCCCACTTGTGACTGCATGACTGTAACTTTTGTGGCTTGTATCCTTATGATTTATATTGACTATTTCCTAGTATGATTTGATTGCTTATTGCACCCTGTGACTATATTCTATATACTGTATGCCCTATGATTCTATAACCCTGTGACTATCATTAAGTGTTGTCCCTGATGATTCTTGACGAATGTCTCTTTTCTTTTTCTGTCCACTGGGAGTATTTGCACCAAGACAAATTCTTGTGTGTCCAATCACACTTGGCCAATCAAGAATTCTATTCTATTCTATTCTATTCTATTCTATTCTATTCTATTCTTTCCTTATTCTATTCTATTCTATTCTATTCTATTCTTCTATTCTATTCTATTCTATTCTTCTATTCTAGTATTATTTCTATTCTATTCTATTCTCTATTCTATTCTTTCCTTATTCTAGTCTATTATCCTATTCTAGTTTTATTTCTATTCTATTCTATTCTATTCTATTCTATTCTTTCCTTATTCTATTCTATTCTTCTATTTTATTCTAGTATTATTTCTATTCTCTATTCTATTCTTTCCTTATTCTAGTCTATTATCCTATTCTAGTTTTATTTCTATTCTATTCTATTCTATTCTATTCTATTCTATTCTATTCTATTCTATTCTATTCTATTCTATTCTATTCTATATCCTATTTGTCACTTGTAGCTTTTATGTACACTGAGAGCTTCTGCATCAAAGACAAATTCCTCGTGTGTGTCCAATCACACTTGGCCAATCAAGCATTCTAATTCTGAAACTGGCCAGAGTCAGGATTGACAGCTACAACATAAAGTATGGTAGAGATGTTGAGCCCAGCAGGTGCTGAGATGGACTCTGGAGACCTAGAAGCCAAGAATCTGGCGTTGTGTGTCAGCGTCCAGATCTGTGCTTGTCAATCTTGGCCACTTTAAGATGAATGGACTTCAACTCCCAGAATTCCTCTGTGGACATCTTAAAGTGGCTGAGGTTGAGATTGAAAGGTTGGCTGGCTGGGAGTGGAAGTCCACCCATCTTCACGCCTGCTGGTTGGGGAATTATGGAAATTGAAGTCCAGCCTTCTTATAAGATGCTGCCTGGGAATTCTGGGAGTTGAAGTCCACCCATCTTCAAGCTACCAAGGTTATCGAGCACTGCTGTAAAGTTTGAGCGTCCTCTCCTGGACAGAATCTGAAATGAGAAAACCCCAAGAAGGGACATCAATGCTGCAGAATTGGGAATGGGTAGAATTTTCTTAAAATCTGATATTTAGGATTTGGGTCAAGCACTAGATTGCGAACCTCTCTCTTTGTGTTTCTCCAATGCACAAAATGAAAGTAAGCAACTGGATCACACAGAGACTTGGGTGGGAGGGCTTCCTCTGCCCAGGAACGAGGCACGATGCTCCTTCTTCTGCTTCTGAGCCGGCCTTAGAGGCCTTTTTGCCTCCTCCACCACACAATTTGTTGTAATGCATTTTTATGCAACAGCTGCAGTAGTATTCAGCAAATAGATGGCAGTGTTTGCAAGTTTGGATCTATGGTATAACAGTACTCTATGCTCTTCTGTTCTAAGTAGAGTTTCCTGTTTCTGGCTACGATTAAAAGTAGTTAAGCAGTAAAGCACATGGTGACTGTGCGTACTTTTCGTTTGTTCTGTGGTGCTCTATATAAACAGAATTTCTAACACAGTTTATCCTTGGTGATTTTTTTCTCCTGAGCAGGTGCCCATGATCAGTGGCCGGGGACTGGGCCATACTGGAGGCACACTGGATAAGCTGGAATCCGTGCCAGGCTTCTGTGTTTCCCAGAGCCCAGAGCAGGTGAGATGACTGATGTGTTTCATGACCCAAGCAGATAAAAGGATCAGGGTTAGAAGGGAGTGGGGCTTGTCTTGTCAGTGTGGTTGGGGGGGTGTTAGTTTTTTCTTGGCAGTTCCTTAAACAGGGCAAAACAACTCGTTACAGAGAGCAAATCCCTAGCTTTCCTTAATTGGATCATGAAACATCTGCAAGAAAACAACCGAGGACCTCGGTGTCCCGATGTCCCAGTCCTCTTCCGCCTCTTCCTACACTTCCTCCTCCTTATCCTCCTCTTCAACCCTCCCTCCATCTCTAGCACTGATGATATTCCCTAGTTGGGTCATGAAATATCTTGCAAGCAAACAGCCAAGCTCAAAAGGCACCAAGGATCTCTCACAGCTGCAGTCTCCTTCTCTTCTCCCTCCTCCTCCTCTTCTCTCTCCTCCTCTTCCTCCTCTTCTCACAAACCTCCCTCCCTTCTAGCACTGCTGATGTTCCCTACTTGGGTCATGAAACGTCTGCAAGAAAACCACCCAGCTCAGAGACCAGCAAGGACCCCGTGGTTGTTTTTCTCTTTCTCCTCCTCCCCTTTCCCTTGAGCACTGATGATGTTATCTAGTTAGGTCATGAAACGTCTGCAAGAAAACCACCCAGCTCAGAGAGCACCCAGGATCCCAAAGTACTTCTCCT